GGAGTCAGCATTTATCTCAATTAATGGCTCCTTCCCTTTCCCTTATCAGTTAGAATAACTTCAATGGGAGTATTCTCAGCCTATGTCAGAGACAATTCTGCCAAACTAGACTCCTTATCTTTACTTACCAAACCTATATTTCCGGATTAATCCCACTGTTGTCAGTTTGAATTGTAATTTGTTTGTATTAATCCCACTATTGTAAGTCCTTGTAATCTTATTTTAAAAAAGAAAAAAGTGACCCAATATTGACTGAAATTCAGAATAGCAATAGCTGCAAATGGATCTTGATTTTTGGGACTCCAAATTACCAAATAAAATTGGGTTTCAAATCCAAATCTGATACAATAAGCTCAAACTCTCTTGGTGGACATAAATAATTTGTGTGATATTTTACCATTTGTTTTATCATTTACCTTGTCTTTTATAAGATTACATAAAAAGTTCAGTGATATGCCATGTTTTTTAGTAGATTTCACGAGATTTTTATAGATAGAGTTCACAGATATTAAATCTATGGTAGATGATGATACTGATATGTATCTAAAATTTCAAAATTACAAATCCAATGTGTGTCCCGTCCAGTATCACGTTAGTCATTTTGAAGTAATCATCAACCTGCTGTAACATGAAAAAGCAATCATTTTTCTTTCACTGACCAAATTCTAACAATATGTTATTAAGCTCGGACTGGATGGCGACTCAACTAAACTATTGGATTGGAGGTCAACTAGTCGATAAGTCAAACCGTTCTCAAAGATCCACTGATGTCAGCATGATATCATAATTATTTTATATTTTTATAAGTTTCAGTAATATTGAAATTATGTTCTTGGTTATATTCGATCAATTATAGAAAATGTTCCAAAAATATTAGACTTGCAATCAAATATACATCTAATAATTATGTATAAAAAATGTAAGTTCATAGCTAAAATATGTCCATTCACTAAAACTACTTGGAAAACTAAATTAAAACAAATTAATGCAAGTTGGAATCACTTATTCTAAATTGATAAGATCATAGGATGAAAACATATTGATTAAGAAATCATTCAAGAAAGCGAGTAATTTTGGTACTTACACTAAATGGGTGACATTTCTTATTCCTATTAATAAATGAATGTGTTACAATTTCAGTAACTTAAATTATGTTTTGGAAAAAGGAAGAAAGAAAAATTTGAGAACCGGATCAACCCGTCGAATCGAGTTACTAATTTAATCGATTTTTGACGATTTTGATTGATTTTTTACCAAAACAATTTTATGCTACAAATCATCTCGAAAAGAAGGCCGGTTCATGATCGAAGCAGTCGGTCCGATCCGGTCCGGATCTAATAACACTGATTTGTAATAACAACAATGATCGTTAGATTAACACACAATACTGTAGATAACAATCGTAAGACGAGTTTGATGCTGAACAGCAGGGTTTTGTGCCATCTCCAAGCTTATTGAGACAGCCACATAACCAAGTACCTCAAACCTGTACTTAACAACATCAAATGCGAGCACTAATTGTTAAAATTCCAGCTGCAAAAGGGGCCTCAAGGCCTTTTGAAGAAAACCTCTGTTGCGGAGAAAGGTACACTTTCAACTCAAAAATCGAATAACAAGCAGGAATCTTCTCTTCCCACCAAAAGGAAGGGAATTGTAGTCTTGTATGGTACAAATATTCCACAGTAACAAGAAGTGGCCCAGAACGTCAAAACTTTCTGGCCATGAAAAATCCAATGTTAAATCATTATAATCATCATGATACAAAGATAACTACTGGCTAAACCATATCGCTATACCCACATGCACCATAAACATCAGAACAAGAAATGGTAGTGATTGTTACAAGGGAAATGTCAAGGGGACCACCATTCAGTCAGGCGCTGAAAACACAAATTCTTGCAAAAGATGTCCCGGATCAATACCTGTCAGGGGAAACAACATTTGGAGCATGGCAAACAATAATATGTGATGGCAAGATCAACCCGAAGATCAGCTAAAAGATCCTACAGTCCCATCACACTCACTTATAAGCATTGTTGATCAAGCACCTTAGCACTAGCTGGAACTGACTGGAGAAGCACAGGAAGTCATCCAGGGATCAACTTTGGATACAATGTAACATCCATGCTCAGAGTCTACGGGAAGTTGATGATGTCTTCTTACTTGGTGCATATGCAAATTTACTGAGATCCATGTTGCTGGACGACCTTTACATAAGAGGTAAGACTAGGTCAATCCAAAAACTCGTATTGGCTAGAAATTACACCATAAACCAATGCTATGGTTACCTGGTTCTACATGTGTTCTTTACATCTTTAAGGGGTGCGCGGAGACCGCTTGCACGAGAACCATTTGACGTGAATTTAAATGATGATATGACTGAGGCAAATTTTTCCATTGACTTCTCTGCTATATCAGAATAATGTCCTAAGTGAGAGATATTACACCCAAATTTTCCTTCTTGAGCGTTTGTGTCTCTAGTTGTGTCACCAACCATGGAAGTATCATCACCTGACACAGATAAACAAATTATGTCTCTACTAAAACGTCCTCTTCTCTAGATTGCTACAAAGTAATCATACACCTTTGTGCAATTGGAAAAGTAAATTTACATTTATAGAACAGATAGTCCCAGTCCTAAATCTTTCAAACTATTTGATAATACCAGTGCAATAGAACCAGTTACTCCAGTTGAAAGTACTATCACAAGATTCCATCTTTCAAAAAATTGTGGACTAGCCGAATAATCGTTTTAAGTTATGTACATATGGAGTTCTTCCAGGAAAAAAGAAAGACCCAACAAGGCCACAGAGTTTATCATCCCTGATCAACTATAAAAAAATTGTTTGAATGCCAAATAAGGCACTGATTGGGTTGCTATTGATAATTTGTGTTTATGTTAATGCTTCAACAAGTTGGTAGCCTAGCTCTTATCCTGGTCATAATTATTGGCATCAAGATTGCTAACAACCAAAGAACAAACATGGTGTACAAGACAAGCATTGTAAAAATACCTTAAAAGCACATTTACTGTCCATCTTTAGACATATACATGATGTGATATTGTCCTAAGCCAAGATAAACCACATAGAATTCTATCTAAAAGCTTGGACTAAGAAGACCATAATAGCCCAAATTTGTTTATCAGAAATTAAGAGTGTCCTTACTAGTAGCTTGGTGTTGAACAATTTTGGGCAATGGTCAAGACTCCCAACTACTAGAGCTACAATACATGCCTGAGGTGTTAAACCCCTGATCAGTTGGTAGGGAGACGTAAGTACATGTTTGCAAACTATGAAGTGTGGGATGCCCCTGAAGAAGGAAGACATCAAATCCCCTTTAGCCTTAATGGACATCGATCTTTGCGGAAACCGTTAGTCATTTAATACCCTTTTGACATGCTCAAGAATATCCTAATAAAACCTAAAATTAGAAACTTGTTAGATACTAAGTAATCATTTAGGAGCCTTCGATGAACTTGCTAGACTGCTAACAATTTACTGAGAATTATCTAAAGCAGAGAAAGTTTCAATTAATAAAACACAGCACAAGGTATGCTCCATTGATACATGTTATGGGACAGAAACTATATGGCCAGTACACACAACAGCTTCATCTCAGCATGTGGTCAGGAAAATTCCAACATGAATATGAATCTTACAAATCAGTAGTGATTAGTATTAGACTTTCTTTTTTGGTATGCTTATCAGAAAAAAACAAATTGTATATGCTTCTATATTAACCTAAAATTAAAAAATTTTCAACAACCTAAGCATTTTTATCCCATGCATTATCTCAAAAGTGGTGTAATATCTTTAGCTGCTCATCCACTTCATATCTCCCCTCATATCAATTTCACTCCTAAAAGAAGCATTCCTTTACATAACAACAAAAAATGTTGTTCAAGAGTTGTTTTCCCAGACCCGCAACAATAATTCTATACGTCCAAACTTTTTCTAGATATCAAACTTCCGTCTGAACAATCTAAGTAAAGCCTATATTCCCTATTAGCCTTTCCTATTAAAGTATGTCAAATCAACCGTAAAATCCACAAACTTTCAACTGTCCTGCAACTATACAGATGCAACCTGGTATTTTCTTCAGTCGAAAGAGTAAAGGTTTGTCTATAATGAAGTAAAACCAATGAACTGAACCTATCAACAAATTCATCGACATCCATTGTGTTACCAAAGTCTACCAGTGTCTACAGATGAGACCAGAGGTAACAAGCCATAGGATGAAATGTATCTGGTCCATTTAGTCCAAAGAAAGTGGAACCCATTGTCACATGCACTTCTAATCAGGATGAGTGAGCCAGATTCAAAGGTCATTACATCTATTCCAACACCCAAGAGTAGGTTGCTGACAGGGCTGTAAACAGTCTACAAGAACTAATATGGCAGTATATTAACATAGCAGCAGAGTGGAAGCGCCTAACAAACAAACATGTTGCCAAATCTTGTGCATTTGAAGAAAAAATTAATGGAAGGACAAACAGATATCAGTAGCAAACACACAGAACAAGATGGGAAAAAGAAGTGAATTCTAAATAACTTTAGTACTGCTGCCAAATCTTGTGCATTTAAAGAAAAAAATTAATGCAACCACGAACAGATACAGTAACTAACACACAGAAAAAGATGGGAAAAAGAAGTCATTAAATTACTTTAGTACCGTTTTAGTAGCTCCATATGAAGCTTTTTGCAATTGAAATGAAGTATACCAGTACACGCTATTTAAGACTTGCTAAATGAGATCGTCCAAAAATCAAAATACAATTTGACTAATCAGAGTAGTCAATAATCTCAGTAACCTCATTATGCCCAAGTTTTTTAACCAGACAACAAAAGAAAATAATTTGCTGCAAAATAATGCATTTCAACCCAGAAAAAGAACCTACTGACAATTCAAGAAGACCAAGCTGAGATATATACATACTCTGCATTGGAACAGCTGGACCCTTCAGCATATCATTTCCCCTGGCATCTTCCTAAAATCATGCAAACCAAAAATAAGTATTAAAGCCAATTTTATTTCCTTTTTCTTTACTCAAAGAGAAGATTAGAACAAGACAAAAGTAGTCAACCTAAAAGATCTGATATTGAGATCAAAATATTAATAAGGTACCATCTGAGTTTGAGTGAAAAGAACTTACTCTTGCATTTTCAATATTAGTGATCTTTCTTTTCTTTCTTGAATCTTCCAGAAAATTCTTAGTTAAAGAAATGTCCGGAATTGAATATTCATCTGTGTCAGTAGCTATCTGATCGTCTACCTTCAGCTTTTCATACTTGTTTAATGAACTATGCTGAAAACAGAAACTTCTCCCAGTTGCATTTCCCTGATCTGTGGTTGCTCTAACTTCAATCTCATCCAAGACATATAAATTGTTATCATGAGGAGCATTAGATTCCTTGACTAATGGCTTTTCACTCTTGTCACATGGACCTCTTTCCCTTATGGATTTGTGTTTAAAATAAGAACTTCGAACAATCACATTTTTGCTCATTACGCTTATTTTTTTCTCACTGCTTTCTGAGCCAAGCATATTTGCACAACTGCCAGCAGGAATCCCACATTTATTACTAGCTGCTTCAGCTCTATCTTTCTTTTTAACCTGATTTGTTTCCTTCACATCCTTGTGCAGAAAATAGGAACTCCTCACAATCATTTTTGTATTTTCTGTTCTCAATTTGCTCTGATTTTGGTCTGAGGTGCTTTCCTTATGCAATGCACTACAAGGTTTGCAGACTGAATGTTGTACCATAGCAGGTTGTGCTCCTTTGTCCTCTTGAGTGTCTTCTGATTCATCTACTCCTGTTTCATGTAGAACTTTCAGACATTACTTCATCTAACAGGAAGTTGAAGTGCTGAAAGGAGACACCTATACTTACCATGATGCCGTGATTCCAATAATTCAGAAGCCTTATTAGCGGCGGTACAGTCCACCTAAAGGTAGGTTCATACTCGCATTAAATAAGAGTTCAAATAGCTATATCAGAAGTGAAAAACAATTGAATCGATGTAGACACCAATTTACTTACTGACTCTGGCAACATTGTGGTCAATGTCATCAATCTTCGAGATTCAGCATCTGCTTCAATCGTCCTTGTCGAACTAAAAATTCCATTCTCTGGATTTGGACGCTTAAGCATAGGTGTAAGTCGTGGGGCTATATATTTCCTCTTTGCTTCAACAGAAGCAAAACCTTTATGTGTTAAGTCAAACAGAGACTGTGATCAATAGGGTGGTAACATACTAGTAAATTTTTAAACAGGGAGAGCTTGATGTGATGAACAACATCCAAAATGAGTAAAAGAGAACTTGTTCCTGCAATTAGCATCCAAAATGGCAGGAGAAGTGACGTTCCCATGGAGGAAAATTAGTTATCACCAAAATCTCAAACTTAAACGAGGTATAAATTTACCAAAGGATTATGCCTTTTCCACATACCTGACTCTGCAAATGTTTTCAGAAGCATGGGCTTTTTAGGGATCTCTTCCAAGGAAGAGAAGGGAAATTTTAATTCTACACTGTAGGCCCATTAAGTGTGTAATGCATCACTAGTTTAGTATTCATAAATGTGGTGCCATGCTGCTAGTAAGTTTGAATGTAACAGATCATTCATAGACTCTACAGCACATATGAAAGAGGATGCATGACAACAAACTACTAGGAGATGCAAGTACTCTGGTACAAGCATTCAGGAGTTAGAAAATTTCATTGCTAACAATAATGAAGAATGTAAAGCTAAACACAGGTGCAAAATGGATACAGAAATAGTTAGTCAGGAGATTCTTTTGTGCAGGCAGATCAAGCTTTTTACTTTCACCTTCAGGTTTGAAATTCTTTAGCTGGTAAGATTCATTGACTGCCAATTCGGCACCACCATGCTCATGCTGTCAATGAAAAGATGAAGAAAGCATCACAAAACTTAATCAGTTAACGAAAAAGTAAGCTGATAAGCTAACGTGCAAAAAGTCAATATTTATGAGAAAGTTCCAAAGTAAAGATTACCAATCTAGATTTGGAACATCTCTCATTATCAACAGAACCAAGTAATACTATTTGACTAGCAAGACTAATGAAAAATAAAAGGTGGTGAAGGGAGTACAAGTCTGATTATGAAATCAGATTTTTCAAACCATCTCCCTTCACTACAATCGAGGACATAATATCTAACATTTCGGAAGTCATAGTGGAGATCTCTGTTGTGAATCATCGTTCATAATTTGTTCAAATATTGTCACTAGCTACTAGTCAGGACTAGGCTAAGTACATACTGGAAAGGGAAGCAAGAATGTGAGGAAAATACCACCAACACTTTGATCATTCAAGGGTAAAACCCAGTTCAGAGGATTAGCCAAACAACAATTTGAAGTTTCAACCATAGATAAAATATGCTTACAACTAAAGTAAGCACATAAACTAAATTCTGATATTCTGCCAAGTACATTTAAGGTCTTATGACTTTTCCAGAAAGTACCAATGTGTTATCATGTTCAAATAGTCAATAGTTGGGTACAAGCACAGCCAACTTCAGATAATAAAAAAAAAATGCAAGAAACGTAGCTCCCACCATGCAAAACTTAACCTCAATAATTGACTATAACCTTGAGGCAAAGCAACAAAGAGAAAGTAAGCCATATGTGGTTTATGATATTTCCCATGTATCCAATGAGGGACAGCACTTTCAAGTCAAAAACAACATTAACCAGTAATGTAACTGCTACCCAGGCACATTAGTGACAGAGAAAATCATAGGGATCTTTCCAAGAAGGGACAAGGACAAGATGACCTCATTGTCCACATGGAAACATATTATAAGTAAGCAAAGCAGTAAGAACTTCATTTACTTATAAAATTAGGAAAACAAAAACTTCCTATAACTATATGTGAGGAAGACAACCAGTTATCAAAAGAATCATCCATATACCTCAAATGGCATTTTTGTAAAAGGATCAATGTCACCTTTTGCTATCCCTTTAGCTACATCGTTAGAAATCGATGTGTCTGTGGTTAAGGTGTGACTCACCAAATATCAATAGTAAATGAAATATAGAAATGTAAGATAGAGATATCTCAAGCACATAGACTTGATACTTGAGAAATACACAAGAAAGATAAAGATTATTCAAGGATATGGACCTAAGAAATCTAAACTGCCATCAAAACTATTTGGTGGCTCAGACAAATGTATTATCTCTTCAGTAAGAGGATCATAAACTCTTTGATGCTGGAAAGTTAGCATCGCCTTCCTGAAAGATTCTTCATAAAGAGGAGAAACCGCAGCACTATTATACTTCAAGTGCTTTAGTACCTGGGATAAGTAAAAAGAAAAGAAATTTTATTTAGTGCAAGCAACAGAAAATAGAGGACTAGCATATTTGCAAAGTTAAGACGCTTTGGCGCTTGCTTCCTGAAGTGAATAAAATACACTCTACTAAATGCTTGCTCTCCAACTAGCTTCAACAATGAGACTACCTTGTCGTAACTTTTGAACTTTTTCATCAGTGTATGAGCTTTCTTCAGACCCATTCCAGGCAAGGACTGCAGATAGTCACATCCACTCAATATGCACATCTCAAGAAGCATCTGCTTGGTAAACCCTATCAAATTTAAATCCTTGTTTTGTTGTAGCAGGGAAGTGCGAAATTCAACACCTTGTCCAAACTTGTCCATTTTATAGATGATCTGGATTTGGCAATGGATCAGACCACACATGTTAATCACATGATATCGTGGAAGGACACATTTTTTTTCATGTATCAAAATTAATCAAGCTCAATATAGAACAGATTGCATCAACTAGGGAATGTGTCTACACTCTGGGGAAGTCATATTTGGCAACATTAGCAACGAACTTACTCTGGGACAACCAAAGGCAATTAAATCTGAGTCCTCAGTTATAACCGCATCAACCTGTTTGCTGACTGCCAAAAAGGTCATTTGAGCATCTGCTTCATATGGAGCCACGACATAGCATACATTTTCCTGTTTCAAAACCTTTGGTACACAAACATTAGAAAGAAGCAGTAGTGAATGGGAAAGACATTAAGCACTACTTTGCCAAACCATGTGGTTTATTGTCACAAGAATGCACATCTCTACCTGAATTAGGTCATATGCAATTGAGGGTGAGATGTCAACAGCTTTTTGATAGCATTCATAAGCAGCAGCCGGATTACCATTCGATTCATGCTCAATGGCACGAGAAAGGTTTTCCCTTCTTGACCTGTGGTACAACATTGAACAAATCTCAACTTCATTTTCTGTTTTTGTTCTATCTTTGCTATGAACAAATACAGATTATGGCTTTTGCGCTGAACTAGTCAGTCTTAACCTTATTTTTTATCAGCTATTATCTTTTTTTTTTGTCTGCATTCCATCCCTGTGCATGTTTCTGACATTGAGATACCCATGATGGACATATTTTTTAACTGACAAGCCTAATGAATCTCATGATGATGTGTAACAAACTCTTTTTCTATTAACTCTAAATACAAGAATAGAAATCAAGAAAAAAATAGTTTTATATTTTTGCTAACAACCACGTTGTTCTAAGTTGCCATAAGACAGCTATGTGTTATTCTCCTTCCAGGAGACAAAATGAAGGACAAGGTTCATCTACTTTAACAGAAACAACTGCTTACACCCATCAGTCAGATATATCAAGTATGAAATCTGTCTAGTAGAGTTTTCAAAAATTCATTATTCATCAGAAATACAATCAAGAAACTCTTTTTCCTATTTTCCTTAATTACATTTTGAAGGAAAAAGCATAGTGCTCTTACAGGGGATGTTTTCATAGCTATTGTGAATAACAACTACTGGATAATATTAGATGTATTATCAAAATCATTACACAAGAAACTTTAAGTAACTGAGAAAGTTGATATATTGTTAATTGACCTAACATTTGTTCATAAATTGGAAAACTGCTTTACTGTTAGAGTTACAGTGTATAAACTTTTACCGTTACCCATCTTTTACTAGAGTTTAAATATATTAACACTAATTAATAAGTCAAAGTTCAAAAGATTCGAGCACTTGCACTTGAAATAAAACAACAGTGACAAACATACAATCAGTCAGCAGTAAACTAATTTTTTTTTTTTGCAAAGCATGTGATTTATATTGTAGAGTCCAACTTGTATAACAGGAGAATCTCGTATGTTGTTAAGTGGTCTTAACTTTATGAGGGCTTAAAGAAATTTAAAAAGATCTACAGAGACCTAGGTGGGTTGGTTCCTTCATCTGTTTAGCATTGATGAAGTGTAATGAAGACATCAGCCATTGCAAATGAAGCACAAGTATTTTCAAATGAACATACTTTCCAACATCTTACAAAATATAGCATTTTCCATTTTAAGTCAAGAAAAGAGCCCCGATAAAGAAAGACCAAAACTAACACATAAAACCCAGCTAGCCATGTCCAAGTCGGTAGCTTTGCTCAAAACTAACACATAAAACCCAGCTAACCATGTCCAAGTCGGTAGCTTGGCTCTAAGTAATTAACTTCTCTGACTAGTGCATGACGGAAAAAGGAACACGTATTATACTGTGTTGAATGGTGAGGTTATAACATATAGAACAATGTGACAGTAAATTAGAAAAGGTACAAATATAACAAATAAAGTAGTTTTTTAACTTATCTTTGAGATGGAAATGCAACTACATAGGTACTGTATCCTTCAACTGAAAGGAGGCAGGTAAGGCAATTTCTCCTTTTCATTAGTGGAGATTAGCATGGAGCGGAGGTAGAAGTGGAAGATTTGAGTAGGCATAAGGTTACATGAGGGGATGGGAGCATTTGAAAAGAAGAGAAGGTACAGAAATCACAGATGAGAAATGAGATCACATGCTCAGTGAAATTCCTTCAGGCATTCTCTGAAGATGACTTGATCAGTTATCATGCACCAAAAAACATTTACAGGTGAAAACATGGCTACACTAAATTTTTAGCCTTTATTTACAATGAGATTTATCAGCAGTGCACTTGTCCACATCTACACACTTATCCAAAACAATCTGCTTGCATCAATATTCTGTACCAGCACAAATGTCTTTTCGGCTGAACAGACAAAGCTCATGCAACTTTAATCATAATAAACTATATAACAGAAGCTGACAATTCTTCAAGATACAATACCTTGCACGCTTGTTCTCTTGCTCACTTTTCATCGGTAGAGGACCTCCATCAAACA